CAAGACAATTATTCTTATTGCCACATCGCCAGACAGGACACTGTAAAAAAAAAACAAAAAAACAAAACGATACAAAGAAAAATAGCTGCAAAAAAGACTTGGCACAGGTTATGTTGTGGCTTTAAAACTGATTTGTTTTGTTCCCTGCTAAAACAAAGTTTGTAAATTCAGTTAAATAATTCTTGTTTTTAGCTTTCTTCCTGCATGGGAAGCTTTTCAAAATTTGAAACATTACTGCAGTGGTTTATGTTATAATAAACCTTTGGGTTTTTCTTGTGTTTCTTGTGAATTTGGTCTTAAATTTTTATTTCGTGGCATTAAAAAGTCTCTAATTTAACTTGCCTTATGCTGTAGGAACCCTTTAATAAATATGTGTTTAGCTCATTTTTGGAAAATACAAAACCTTATTAAAAATGTTGGGGTCCAGTAACTGTAGGTCCATCAGCCACAACCTGAGTGAGCATGGCAAAAGGCGGCTTCACTTTCTTTGGGTAATCAGCAAACCATAGGAGCCCCCTGGTGCCTTCAGCAGGGAACTGCAGGCACAGCTCTGAGAATATGGGGTTCTACTTTCAAATATTGCATCTTTCCAATAATCGGTCCTTAATTTACAGCTGGAACATTGGAAATGTTCTATTCTAGACTTTGGACCCGATCTGTGTCCAACCGGGCCGAACCAGTCTGAGAAAGGACTTTATCTTCTATCCGACTGTTTAACGGTGTGACTAACGACTTGGCTTGGATGGTTTCCACTCACCGTGATGTGATCAAACAGCCTGAAGGTGGTGCTGCCGCAGCCACACGTGGTGACGATGTGGTCTGGGTGACGCTGCACAGTGCCGCTTTGCCACTCGCAGGTACCGTCTGGGCCTGCTGTCACCACCTCGCCTGTTTTAGTCTTCATGTAGACCGGGCCCTTCACGCCGTACCTGCAAACAGCGCAGCCGCTCAGAACCAGTTCCCGGCCTGACAGAACCTGAAGGCTGAACAGAGAGGATCTCTCATGCTGGTTGCTTACTCTGGAACTAAGACCAGGACACCATTGTCTCTGATGGCGTATATGATGCTGTCAGCCACGCAGCGTGGGTCGGTCTGAGGATCCCGTTCTTTGAAGAAGAGGTACTGAAACAATGCAACGGACTGGGTCTGGGCTTGCTTGGCCGCCTGTGGGTGCCACACAGAACATTTAGAGAAGGCAGAACAGTGGAGCCGTGGATCCAGTCGCAAGTTCTCACCCGGTTTCTTGTGTTGATGTGCTCAGCCAGCTCCTCCAGGTCTTTGTTCCCCTCCAGCTTCCTGGCAGGCTCCGCCTCCTGCCCCACCTGCAGGGCGGCGGTCAGGAGGCGGTGGACCACCATGTCGGCATACCGGCGGATCGGGGAGGTGAAGTGCGTATAGCGGTCAAGAGCCAGACCTGCGGTGCAGAAAGGAACCGGTCAGGAGGAGCGGAACACGAGGGGAACCCTTACTGGAACTGGTTTACCGTAATGGTAGAACTGGTGATCTGGCTGGCTGCCAGTGGAGAAGTACAGTGCCTGGGACATGGCCTGGGTGGCCATCATTCTTAGGAGCCTGTTCACCAGCGGGTCCTCTGGGTCAACGGCTTGGTCCAGAGAGTCGGCCAAGGCTTTGTTGGTACTGCAGGAGCAAAACCAGAGTTCTAATAAGCAGAGTCCAGCCTTAGGCCGGTTCTGGGTTCAGATGTGAAGGTGGGGCAGAACCCACCTGGTGTCCATGCAGAACCCCCTGGCCTTGGCCGTTTCCACCAGTAGATCGAAAAACTCCTGTCGTGGCGGAGGGTGGCGCCTCAGCAGCGCCCGGCAGGGAAAAGCTTCCTGGATCTTACGCGCCACCCAGTGGTTGGCATAGATCATGCACTCTGCCACAGTCTCATGGACCTCCAGGGGCTGCTTGGGAACCAGTGCCGTGATGTTCTTCTCTGCATCCAGCTGGGCCCGGACCTGTGGGGGAGGGGGGGGACATTCAGTGGGAAGCAACATCTGGAACGCTGTGGGAAAAACGGGAAACATTCCTCTGTGATCAAAGACATAAAAAAAAATTAAATCTTGTTTCTGTACTAAATGCACATTTAAAAAATCAAAAGAGATTTTGAAAATGTAGCAGAAGCTTTTAGACAACATCCAACGTCTGCAGGTCTTGACCAAATCGACCCTGGTGGGCAGCGTTCCAGATGTTGCTCTAGAGCAGGCATCCCCAAACTCGGTCCTCAAGGCCCCCTGTCCTGCAGGTTTTAGAGGTTTCCTTGCTCCAGCACGGCTGATTTTAATTGAAAGCTGATTAACAGGCTTTTGGTCTACTGCAATCATTATAACCAGCTGTGCTGAAGCAGAGAAACCTCTAAAACCTGCAAGAAAGGGGGCCTTGAGGACCGAGTTTGGGGATGCCTGCTCTAGAGTAAACCGGCCCCGGCGGGCAGCGTTCCAGATGTTGCTCTAGAGTGAACCGGCGGGCGGCGGTCCAGATGTTGCTCTAGAGCAGTGGTCTCCAACCCTGGTCCTCAAGATCTGCTGTCCTACAGATTTTAGATGCATCCCTGCTTCAACACAGCTGAATCAAATGAATGGCTTGAAAAGGTAATTATTTATTTGATTCAGCTGTGTTGAAGCAGGGATGCATCTAAAATCTGTAGGACAGTAGTTCTTGAGGACCAGGGTTGGAGACCACTGATCTAGAGTGAACCGACCCTGGCGGGCAGTGTTCCAGATGTTGCTCTAGAGTGAACCGGCCCCTGCGGGCGGCGGTCCAGATGTTGCTCTAGAGTGAACCGACCCCGGCGGGCAGCGTTGCTCTAGAGTGAACCAACCCTGGCGGGCAGCGTTCCAGATGTTGCACTAGAGTGAACCGGCCCCTGCGGGCTTCGGTCCAGATGTTGCCCTGTCTGTATCCCAAGACGCTTAGAAATAAAACATGTCTGACCTCCTTTTACTGACAGAGGAAAAATGAATAGAAACTAAACCCAGATGAAAATAAAACCTAAACCAATCAGAGCTTAGCGTTCCTGCTTCCTGTTTGCTTCCACCAATAAGCAGCTAGAAGCTGAGCACCACAGCCGCCCTCCTACCTCCAACCCCTCCAGCTCCAGGGCTCCTCCTTGGTCCCTCTGAGCCCGTAGATGTCTGGCCACCAGCGTCAGCTTCTCCAGCGCCGCAGTGAGCTCCGAAAGCTTGGCGGCCCGCTCCTTGGGGTCCAGCTGGGCCAGCTCCGGAACAGGGGCCTCCTCCCCGTTCAGCAGCGCCTGAGCCAGCTCGTAGTGAAGCTGGTAGGAAGAGCGGATCAGGGTTCGACCAAACCACACATCTTTGTAAGCCAGGCTCTGGGCGTCCAGCTCCCACAGGACGCTCATGGCGTACCTGGACAGCAGAGGTTCAGTGTTGGACTGCTGGTGGAACCAGAAAAGGCAGAGAACTGAACCACAGAACCCACTGACCTGTCGACCCCGCCCAGCAGCGAGCAGAGGTCGGCGCTGAGCACAGCAGGCAGCATGTCGTAGCGGCGGTCTGCCAGGTAATAGGTGGTGGCTCTGAGAGGGAAACATCAGGGAGTTAGGTCTGTTCCCTCCATCCTCTCTCCCGTGTTTTAGAACCTAAACCTGCATTAAATGGAACCAGAACCTACTGGGTTCCGCTGTCTTCATGAATATGGTTGTTCTCTAAGTCTGATCTGAGTCTGATCTGGCGCTGCCACTTACCTGGAGCGGGCCTCCAGGTCCGTGAGCGAGCCCTCGCGGACGAAGTGAGTGACGTCAGCGATGTGGACCCCCAGTTCCAGGAGTCCGTCGCCGAGGCTCCTCACCGACATCGCGTCGTCCACATCCTCGCAGCCGCGCGGGTCGATGCTGAACACCAGATGGGTGTCCCTGAGGTCCCGTCGCTTCGCTACCTCGGTGGGATCCACGGTCCAGGGCTGCGCCGGCATCTCCCTTAGCTGCAGGAACAAGGGTCTGATCACTCATAGCCCAACTTCCAAATGGAGCTAAAACCCGTCTGGTTCCCAGAGCTCTGAGGTACTGGTTCTGGTACTGCCGGTTCCTCACCTGTGCTTCAGAAAATGGAGGAACGTTGATGCTGTTCTCCAGCAGGATGGTCTGGACCTCTGTCTCCATATCTCCAACCCGACCCAGAACCCGCACGCTGTGTCCGTTGGGATAGAGGGAGTTGCTGGGCCACGAGTCGATCCGCACCAGCACCCTGTGGTCCTGCAGGAGGAGTGGACCAGACTGGGTCACATTTACAGAACTAAACTGGTTCTGATTATATTCAGTGACGTTTACGGATTTTAATGGAATCTGATCCAAAGCAGCTAAAAACAAGAACCAGTGCTGATGTTAATGATGATTTGATTGGAAGCGATTCATCCTTCATTTCTAGTTCTATATTTCTAAGGAGCCTGGCATGACCTTTGACCTCTGACTGAGGCAGGACAGGATCAGGACTAAAACCAGGAAACTGGGCCTGACACCAGGACCTAACAACCAGAACCAGAAGCTAGCCTGCCAGTCTGGTAGGAAACGTTCTGTTCTGTGGAACCTGGTAGAACTCAGACCTGCAGAGCGTCCGCCTGCTGGGTGCTGATCCTGATCTTGGGGATCCGTTGGTCCCAGGGTACAGCCAGGATGCGCTGGGAGCCCCTGCTCTGGTTCTGGTTCCCATCCCTGGGGGGAAAGGTCACCACGTAGTCCCTCCAGTTTCTCTGCAGGATTCCAACGATGTGACCTGCCGGGTCCAAACGCCGTTAGAGATCAGCGACCCAAAGGGCGGTGAAACAGAACGCCTCCCCACCTGTGGGCAAAGGGTTGGACTCGCCGTCCTCCCCGCTATTCTCGTCCAGCGGCCCCTCAGCCAGAGCTGTCCCTCTGCCTCTCCATTTGCTCTTCGGCAACAGCTCCACCGCGACCAGGTCGCCGTGCACGGCTCGGTTCCGGCTCTTAAAACCGAACACCAACACACCGTTGATCAGATCTGAGGCAGAGAAATAACGAGAGGACAGATGATGCTGGAGGTTCTGCTGTGGAGGTAAAGGTTCTACCGACAGAGAGAAGCTTCTGGACCTGGGCTCTTGTTGGAGAACTCCTCGTTAGTGACGAAAGCCTCGCTTTGAGCCCGATATCTGTTCACATTCAGGGTTCCCTGTGGGAACATGGAAACCAGATTGATCAGGTGTAAAATGTTCCTGCTGCAGACAAACGTCTCTAGTGGGTCTTTACCTTAAGGTACCGTCCCGATTTGATCCCAGCCTCCACAATCTCGGCAGGCAGATGTTCCGAGAACTCCCTCTGGGAATCCTCGCTCTCCTTCTCCTGCAGCACCTGAGAGATGTTCCTGTAGACCTCATGGGCCTCCTGCAGGTCTGGCCAGAAGTTCTGCAAATAGTCCTGAAGGACAAACCAGAGATTGTTTAGGAGTGCAAGCCTTCTGGTTGCTACGACGACCAAACATCTTCTTTGCCCATAACCGGACTGACCATAGGCCATTAGCATGTGAGGCAGGAAAGACGATTGGTTTATTTCAATTCAATTGTAGCTAGCGAGTACTGCAAGTGAGGATAAGAAGCAATGGACTTTGTCTACAAACGTAGTAAAAGAGGAAAGGTGGTCCAGAGAGAGAGAGAGAGAGACAAAAAAGTAAAGGGCTGGAGGAGGGTCCCCAGAAAGCAAAACAGACCCCAGCCTTATTTTATTTTACTACCTAAGAAATGTCAGTCGGTCAGGTAACCAGGCCAGGGTGGCCCGGGCTGCGCCTACCTGGACGCTGATGACAAACACTCCGGAGTTGAGGCTGCCAAACCGAGCCACGGCGTCTTGGTCCTCCGTGATCATCACCACTTTCATGGCTCCAGCCAGGTGGTTGTAGAACCAGACGGCGGCGGCGTAAACGCACCTACGGAACACACACGATCCTTCATAAGAACCTCCTCATCGCGTCTCATTTCGCTTTTAACTCCGACTGTGATTCTCTTAAACGAGGAGAACTGAGCTGTAGGTTCCGGATCTCCTGTGAGGACTCACCTGGTCTGCCACGTCTCCTGGCTCTCGCCTTTCTCTCTGGGGCAGTGGGAGTATGTCTGGAACTCGTTGGCAAACAGGATGCAGTCATGGCGCGGGTCTTTCAGCAGGTTCCTCAGATGGTTGTAGAACCTGCAGGGACCAGGGGTGTCAAAAGTTCACACATTTGTTACTTAAGTAGAAGTATAGATACTGCAGTTTAAAAACACTCTGGTAAAACTTGAAGTATCAACTTGACCTCTTTCCTCAAGTAAAAGTGAAAAAGTATGAGCTCCAAAAACTACTTAAAGTATCAAAGTAAAAAGTACTCGTACTCGTCGTCTCCCGCTTTATCCGGAACCGGGTCGCGGGGGCAGCAGACTAAGCAGAGACTCCCAGACTTCCCTCTCCGCAGACACCTCCTCCAGCTCTGTTGGGGGAAGCCCTAGGCGCTCCCAGGCCAGCCGAGAGACATGGGATGAGAATCAGCTCCTCCAAATCCGAGGCCATGGTTCTCGACCGGAAAAAGGTGGCATGT